CCACAAACCCTCTCCTGCCCCCAAACTCCCTCCCAGAGCCTGCACCCCTCACCCCCTCCTGCACTCCCACTCCTTGCCCCAGCCCAGAGCCTACACCCAAACTCCATCCCAGAGCCTGCACCCCCACCCCCTGCCCGAGCCCGGAGCCTGCACCCAGCACCCAAACTCCATCCCAAAGCCTGCACCCCAGACCCCCTCCCCCACCCAAACTCCCTCCCAGAGCCCAACCTCTCACCCCTTCTGCACCCAAACTCCCTCCCAGAGCCTGCACCCCTCCTGCACCCTAATCCCCAGCCCCAGCCCAGGGCCTGCACCCCAGACCTCCTCCCCCCACCCAAGCTCCCTCACAGAGCCTTAGGCAGGTGGGGGGTGGAGATTGCAGGAGCAGAGTTTTGGGGGGGTGGGTTCTGGGCACCACCAAAATTTCTACAAACCTGCCACCCCTGCTCTCCCCTGACCTCCCCATCTGTGCTTTCCAGGTGAATGGGCGCTCAGTGCAGCTCCCGGCAAAAGTCTCCGATGCTGTGTCTGTGATCAAGTCTCAGGGCGGCGTGGCCGTGGTCCAGGCCTCGGGGATGCAAGTTCTGTTCAGCCCCAGTGGGGTGGTGATGCTGAAGGTGGGCGAGAGCCTGGCTAACAAGCTGTGTGCACCCTGCGGGAACTTCAACGGCAACGTCTCCGATGACCTGCGGCTGCCCAGCGGGAAAATCGTGGGGAGCATCGCCGAGGTCATCGATGCCTGGAAGGCCAGGAACTTTTTAGGATGGTGAGTGGCTCTGCAAATGCGGCTTGTTCAGTCAGTGCCTAGCAATGACTGCTTGTAGTTGGGATACAGAGTTGGGCTTGTTGTATAAACCCCGGGGTACTAGCAGAGTGTAGGGACAATCCTGTCCTGGGACTAGCAGGCTGTAGTAGAAGGGGATTCAATGGGGCTTCTCCGTCTTTTTTGATTCTGTCCACAGTGGCTGACAGACAAAGGCAAGATGCTTCTCTGGCTGGTAAGTGACCTGCTCTTTCTAATACATCACAGCGTCAGCTCTGCATACATCTGATGGTTTAACCGGGCTGGTTTCATCAACTCTAATTGCTTTACAATAAAGTTTTCTGTGATTTAATTTCCTAGGTTTTTATTAATGGGTCGGAGGCTGGGCAAAAGGTTGGAATTGATCTATGAAGGGAGTAAAAGGGAGAATAGAGCCAACCCATTTAATCGTAATTGTCTTTTTGACCTAACTAGAAATTTCCATGGACAATTTTTGCTTTGGTCAAAATTGTTTGGGTAATTTAGGAAAAATGTTCGAAACTAACCTAACTGAAACATGATTAAAAAGGTTATTTTGTTTGAAGGCCATTTTTTCCCGTTTGGTTATTTCAGCCCTTTCTGTTCCTCTTCTACTGGAAAAATGGGGAAAAAGGGAGGAGTAAAAAAACAAAAAGTTTGCATTTGAAATGGAATTAAAAAATTTGAATTTTTTCTTTGAAAAAATTCCCAGAAATTTCTTGAAACAAAATGTGTTTCTTTTGTGATTTTTTCATTTAAATTAAAATGTAATTTTAGTAGGAGAGCCCCTGATGACAGATTATTTTATTCATCAGCAATAGGACATCAACAAACCTCTTTCCCATTGTAGGGTAAAATCAGATGGAATAGCATAGACCCTGACAGAGAAATCTTATATGTTCACATAGTCCCTCAAGCTTAATTGCATATAGTCCATCCCATCTAGGGGGGCGTAGGACTGGACAGGACCTCCTGGGTCATTGAGTCCAGTCCCTGCTATCACAGGCCAACATGTCCTATAATTCCGGTCACAAATGTATTAAACTCCATCTTACACTAGTTAGGTTGTTTGCCCTCATTCCTTCCAAAACGTCACTCCCCTAGAAATCTCCTACTATTTTCTAGCCTAAATTTGTTCATGTCCATTTTATCCCCATTTGTTCCGGTGCCAACATTGTCCTTTAGTTTCAATAGCTCCTCCCCCTCCCTGATGTTTAGTCCTTGATGCATCTACAGAGGGCAATCATATCCCCTCTCATCCTGCGTTTTAAGCTAAAGAAACCAAGTTCTTTCAGTCTCTGCTCATAAGATAGGCTCCATTCCCCCTGATCATCCTCACACCCATCTTCTGCACCTGTTCCAGTTTGAACTGATCTTTCCTGAGCAGGGGTAACCAGAATTGGACACAGTATTCCAGATGAAGTCTTCCCAATGCCTTATACAATGGCGCTAATACTTCCCAGGTTTATGTGCATGACCCATCAGCATCAGTATTAGTAATGGAATGTCAAGTCGGAGATGGTATTATCTCAATGTATGGCATTTATGAGCTCATTCCTGGTATTGGGTCCAGTTCAGAGGTCCACACTTGAAAAAGAGATGCTGACAACTTGAAAAGGTTCAGAAAAGAGCTACAAGAGAAGAGATGGGCGGGAAATATGCTAAGAGGGCATCTAGTCACAAGGGTTGGATGTGGTGTTACACCACCTATTCAGGGAACTGGGATCGTCTGCCTCCCAAACTGGATCTAACTAGTGCAGGGTCCTGGGGGTGGGAGGGGAAGCAGTGCCAGAATCTTTGCCTCCCCTTCCTGGGGCGAGCTGGGTAGACAGAGCCAGCTCAGGGGCGTGGGGAGAAGCAGAGCGGTCTAGGCGGCCAAGAGAGTCCCAGGAGGACGTACAGAGAGACTCTGTTACAAGGAGGCAGCCAGGGCATCCGTCCCAGCTCATGCCCGGACGTGTTTTCTCTTCTAGCCACGCTTCTAACATCGTGCGAGCTGACCTGGAAGCTCCGTTGGTCCCTGCACATTAGACGGCGCCAGCGTGGGTTTGGCCCAGGAATTCCCACTACACAGAGTGCTGGAGGCAGGTGGGACTCACCGGGCCATGTGTGTGGCTGAAACCCTGGGCTGATGTTTACAGAGCTGTGTGAGGGAATTGGGTGCACCACGTTCCCAGTGATGTAGTGGCTGTTATATAGGTGTGCATCCCTGCCTGCCCTGCCCATTTGTTTATGAGTATGTGCCCTCTCTAGAGACTAGCCCAAAAAGATAAATAAAAGCTCCAAGTTTAGGGAGAACTGGTGGTAATTGTCTTTGTGCTCGACAGAGGCCTATTTTTGGAGCTGAAGATCCCGAGTTCTGCTTCCCATGCTTGGCTAACAGCCGGCATCTCTGGTGTCTGTCTGCAGTCAGCCCTGATTCAGTAAAAGTAGTCCATCACAGAAGGTGTAGTTCATCACATGACAGGTAGCTATAGAGAGGAAGATAGAACAGGCGAATCAGGAGATCTGGGTTCTTTTTATGGTTCTGCTTCGACTGACTGTGACTTGTAGAAATTGCTTAACATCTGTGCCCAAGGGACTGACTACAGAGACTATTTCAGTGATCTACTTTGTCTTTTGAAGTAAAGTACCTGCTGAAGAAAAGCATTATATATCTTTTTCATCAAGCCATAAATTGTACAAATACGTTTATAGTTATAAACTGACAACTGCTCTAAATATCAGATATTAAAGCAATACCCTATTAACTCTTTCTGATCCTTTCATCATCAAATATTGAAGTGCCAAACATTAATTAAACAACAGAACACCCTTGTGAAGTAATTAATTATTATTAACCTCATTTTGGTGGAGTGAGTGTAAGTGGTGTAAGGGAAGTCAGTGACAGAGGTGGGAACTGAATTCAAGTTTTGACTTTCACACCCCTGCTCTAGCTACTAAAAAACACTGATAGGGTCTTAAGACATTTTGTGTTACTGACTACAGGTTAACGGATCTTACTTTTAAAAATAAAACTGCTCCATGGATGTGGAGCAGATAGGTATTCTCTCCATTTTAAAGATGGATAAACTGCGGCACAGTGAGAATTAATACTGATAAATAGCCTATTAAATATCAAACATTAAATGTATCACCTTTTTATTTATATGCAACACTTTTTATTTATCTCATGTAATAGAACTGTCATATTCACATGTACATTAATCAATGATATGCTTCCCTCTCTTAGTTTCTCCAAGTCTTTCTCCCAGAATCCTAGTTTATTATTTATTTATACTCTTTGAAAAGAACATAGAAAACAAGAAAAAAATTGTCTATTTTATTTATCTATCACAACTTAATATTTGTCAAAAAAGAACATGAAATCCCTGCTAGCACAGTATGAACTGTCATACAGAGCTAGTAATTTCACAGGCTGTTAGTACTGCTTCCTCTCTCTAGTTTTTAAATTCTTTTTTCTGACTCGACATTGTTTTTAGTTTCTAATTTTATTTTCACTTTTTTTGTCACTTTTGCAGAGATATGCACATGACCCCTGAAAGAACATATTTGTTGTAGTTGTGTGCTTTTTCAGATATCCAAGTCATGTGTAACTCACAGAGTGATTTTGTGTGGTAACATGCTGAAAAACTTAACACATTTTAATTCAGCAACAAACTAAACAGAATGACTGATGGCTGTGGAGGTGGGAAGATGGCAGAATGCAACCCATTCATCAGAATAGCTCAATATTCATAGATTATATACAAATGTTCTCTATTACTAACTGCTGTTGGCAAGAGATTTGTGTATCTGGCAATGTGGGCATCATGGCAAATTTTAGTAAAAGTCATAGAAAGGTCATAGTTATGTTAAAAATAACCAAATTTGGTTGTATCCAAATTAACCCCTTTAACTTTATAACAATAGTATTCATCAGATACCTTCTCCCTACCAAAGCACTCAGCATACAGTACAACTGTATTGTTCAGTTACAT